ACAATCTCTTCCATATTGCTGCAATCTGTCACTGAAATTTCTTGTAGATGGAGAAGCTGTCTGGCTATAGAGGAAGAGAACAAATTCTTTACCTTATGACAACATTCAATAGTAATAGTTCTTAAATTGTTAAAAGCTGTGTCTCTGAGCCGGCCTTGAAATATCTTCTCCAAATTAATCAAATTCTGGAGAATTAATTCTTCCAACCTGGGAAATGCATTGAAAGGAACCCCCTCCACTGATTTAATGATATGTTGAACCTCTGGAGCATCATCGACATTGAGATACTTCAAATCTGGAAAACCTTCAGTATTTAACTCATCAACCACATTCTTTACCCCTGCCAACTCCCTTAGATGAAGCTCTTCAGTCAGCTTCAACAACATTTTAACTAAATAGTTAAAATTAATGGATGCATTTAAATGCAACTTCAGTATTCTTGAGCTTCCAAAGGAACTATGCTGGTATTCCCACTTACATCCAATGAATATTTTGAATATTTTCAAATTTTCAAAGAACAAATCTTTTGGGATCATCCGAATATCAGGAATGCATACCTCTAAATTAGTCAATTTCTTCAAATGCTTCAACTCAGCAAGGCTCGCATTTCTTTGATTTTCATTTTCCTCAACCTCCCATCCATCGAAGCTGTTTCCCAGGAGCAGTTCCTCTAATCTGGACATATTTGCTAAGACGCGTCGGGGAATTATTTGGAGTTTGGTACAGCCTCTCAAATCTAATAACTTCAGCCGAGTCAACTGCCCAATTTCCCCTGGAAGCTCTTTAAAATCAGAATTCAAAAGGCTAAGAATTTCTAAATTCTTCAACTCTCCAATAATATGTATGTCCTCCAACACGCTTTGATCCAAGCATAATGTATGGAGGCTCTGCAAGAGGTAAATTGATGAAGGCAGGGATGACATAAGCATTTGTGTCAAATCCAATACCTTGAGCCTTTGCATTCCCATGAAAAAGTTTGCTGGAATTTGCAGAGAAGGATTTTTATTAGCCATCCAAAAGAAAGTAAGATGAGGGCTTTCCAACTCTTCTGGTAACCCATCAACATTAGCATATCGCATACATATCCATTTGAAATCTTTAATTGCCTCCGTGTCTGACCACTCTTTTGGTTCATGATCACCTGTTAGCAGCAACCCATGATGATCCCTGGATGCGATTGACACAGCCACATCATGAATGAGGTCATGCATATCAAAATAATCATTGTCACAATCATCAATGAGCAAAGAAGAGGCTCTGAGCTGCCTTATCAAAGTAAGTACTTCATCTCGTGCTTCCTCTATGGTGTTAGCAAATAAGCCTAAGCCTACGCCATACTTCAACAAGTCTCGAATGGCTGCCATGTGACCCATTAGGCAACAAAGCAAAAATGTTGTCTTGAGCTTCTCGCTTTCCAAATGAGAGTGACTGAATTCAATAGCTGAATAAACATTTGCATATATGCCATCAAAGTTTTCTGAAGAGGGCTTCCTTAGTTTTCTCAAAGCATCCCTCCATTCGCAAGGCTCCTTATTTTTCAAAGCCGTTGCCAGTGTTGTAATTGCAAGGGGCAAGCCCCCACATGCCTGGACAATAGCAATGGCTGTACTATGAATGTCATCACTGTCTGCTCTCTCACCAACTATCTTTGCAAGCAAGTCCCATGCTTCTTTAAATGCTAATTCATCAAGTGAAAAGTTCTGTGAAGAACCCATCCGATCTGATAAAACATTAGAATCTCTGGATGTCAGCAGAATTTTGCATTCTACATGTTCTTCTCTTGACGAGCTCCCCTCAATCTTTTTTGGCTCGTTTCTAAGAGGAATTCCAAGCTCCTCCAAATCTATTCCAGGGCTCCAAATATCATCCAAAATGATTAAAACCTTCTTCTTATTCTTCAGCCTGTCTTTAATAAGTTTAGCAGCATCCTGAGTTGTAATTTCATTAGGAAGCAGATCTAGACCCAAGCCACGGGCAATTTCCTTTTGAATCTTTTTCGAGTCTGCATTGTTTGAAACAAGATCCATAACTACCACATCGAACAGCTTGTCTTGCTCTGCTTTCCTTTTAACTTCTTTGGCCAGCATCGTCTTGCCCATGCCAGGCATCCCGTGCACCCCTATAACGCTGCTGCTTTGACTTTGCAGTGCTTCCATGATCCTCTCCAGAACATCCTTTCTTGAGTAAAAGTCCTCGAAACCTTTAACAGGGGCGGCCACT